AGAGAGGGAACAAATGGGAGTTTTGGTATCTTAGCAAAATGCTATGTGACCTATAAAACATGCCCTCCCTGAATGCCAAGCCCTTCCCCAGAGTCAGGGAGAGGTGTTCAGCCTGCACCGTGCCTGTGCCGCATTGCTGCTGGGTGTAAAGCAAGGAGGACCTTGGCTGTGGGGGAACAGTCACCTCGCAGCAGTCCCCGCCAGTCCCCACTGTCCCTGGGGCCTCGGCCACCCGCAGCACCCATGCATACAGGGAGGGGCTGCTTTCCAAAACACAGGTGAGCACATGAAACCAAAGGTGTTGGTTTAAACAACGCTGACCTAAGAAGAGCAAGTTTTAACAAATGTAGTATGTTTTACTAACTCGTTAGTTGTGCTTGGTACCTCTGGAGCCCGATGCGCTGGCTTTGGCTGTGACACTCATGTATGACCCTGGGCCTAGGAGTGGCCTCCAGCATCTCCGAGTGAACCCTGCCTGAGGAGGGAGAGCCACGATCTAAAATAAAGTCAGCTCTGCCCACAGCATCAGGGGGTGATTTACTCCCATCTTTAGTATTTGGAAGTCAAACTTAATGAAGATAGATAAGATATGTCGACTCCTCTCCTTAGCTAATTTATCAGCTTTTAAACCTGAATATATCTGTTAAGGTATATTTTCATATTGCTGCTGGAAAGTTGGCAGTCTAGTTAATTTTTCTGTTTTGTACTCCGCATTAAACTGCTGTATGCCTTAAAACACCTGGAGAACACAAACCAGTCTTTTAGAAATATGCTTAATAACACTCATCCTCGCCCATATTAACATGGGTATTAGTACCCAAAAGGGCAGTGTCTTCCTCTTCACTTTTATTGCTCTTTTTATCTCAATAAACAATGCTGTACATTAGATGCAGCAGTGGCACGGTTAGGTTTGTTACACACTATGGATGCAAATACGCAGGCAAGGAAGCAATGAGAAGGTGGGGTGCTCACAGTCCTGCTGCCTGCTTGCCATCCCTGTGGCAGCCCCTGCCCGTTGCAGACAGGGTCGTATGGCCGGTCCTGCCTGGGCACTGAAACACCAGGCTGCTTCTGCCAGCAGTTGGGTTTCAGTGCAGCGAGGGCTACCTGCTGGGGAGCAATGAAAGGGGATTTCTTTGAGGTTGCAAACGTGGCTTTTGTAGTTTTGGGTATTTTGGTACTTAGTTGTTTATTACTTACTCCTTGTCTATTGAACTAAAAGTGTAAATATTTAGCAAGGATAGGGTGGGGAATCATTTGAAACAGTATTGCAACTCTTGAAGGATAACACTGTTTTTTGAAGCCTTCAGTTGTCAAAACAGGGTAATGTAGAAAAATCTGTCTGCCCCAGGTGACTGTCCTGCATTACCATGGTGACATATAAACTCCCAGCTGTAAATTGGGATGAAAATGATCCTGTGGGCAGTTCCAGCCTCTTGCTGGCAGGACTCATGGTATCCAGTGACTGTTGCTCTTGAAAAGCAGTCTGTGTAGACTTTAATTTTTAAAAAGCGTTAGTTGGCAGCACAAAACCTGATTGCCAAATAAAAAAGTTAAATAGATCCCCAAATCAGATGCTCCCTGTTAAAAATAAAGAGGTTGCAGATATGCATACAAACATACGTATACGCATGCAGATATTTATGCTGTGTCTGGAATGTTACACTGAAGGTACACATCTGCATATGAATCTGTGATATCTCCTAGAGCAAACCGCAAACGTGCCTGTAAGTACATCCCGTTTCCAAGTGCCTGGTTGGAGAGAGCACTGAGCTGATGTACATTAGAAAAATGATACCCTGAATGGTTAGCACAAGAAATATCAATGATTGGGATAAATTTAGCTGTGATGGTAATTCTCTTAAGACACCGTGAAAATGATCAGTGAAAGCTTTGCCATCTAAAAATGATTCATCCCTTCTGTGCATGCATATTCACTGTAGCTTTTGAAGATCTTTTGTCCTTTTCTCACCTTGTGTCAGACATGTGGACAAAGGCAGTGAGAGTTGCTTGGGAGTGGTAACATCCCATAGGAACAGGTAGATGAAGGGATGCTATGAAGGATATGTCTTTCCTCTTTCTTCTACGTTTAAACGTAGACCACCAAGACCTCTTGCTGGAAGTTCAATTCTTCTCACTTGTGGTTCTCTCTCCTTTTAGTGCAGCCGCTGCGCCTTGGATAAGCATGGCTGGGTGGTCACAAAGTGTTTGGCAGCCAGTGTTCCCTGTTCTTGTCAAATACACAAATGTTAGATTTAATTAAATGAAAAATCACTTCTATTAAGAATTACCAGGCATCCAGAAACAGAAGGACTTTAGGATTAAATTCATGATAAAGTGTGAACGATGGAGAGATTATTGTATTTGGGCTCATTTTTTTTGCTTTAAAAATTAATCTCTTGTTAGATTGAGTTACTCTCTCAGCATTGCATGTTCTGTCACCTGCTCACTGGGATCCCCCGGGCAGGACCTGCTCCTGCAAAGGAGCTGAGCATCCCCAGGTAGCAGAAATAGGCAACGTGTCCTGTGGGGTGCTGGCAGTCAGGGCACCTCACCTGCGGTCCAGGAGCCACCACAAGCAGGTCGTCAGCAGCGCTCATCACCTGGCAAACAGGTGAAGGTCTGTAATGATTACATGCCTCTTCCTCCTCAGAGGGCTGTTAGGAAAAGCTGAAATCAGCCTAATGAGGGTGGGCAACCAGGAGCCACTTCTGGGAGGCAGTGGGAGGATCCAGGCTGGTAAATGATTTCAATGGGATAAATGCATCACTTCCTATCAGTCTATTCTCATTTGGGAGCAGGCCTGTCTTTTCATCCCTCAGTTAAGTGTAGAAAGACAAATTCTATGTTTTTCCACTTAAAAGTTACAGAATAAAAATTAGGTGAATAGGTAAGCTCTTATTTTTCCTGTCTACCCTGTGGGACATCTTCAGAAAATTTTCGTAATGTATATGTAAGCTGGTAAATGACTTCATTTTTCTAGCGCTCAGATTTTATTAAATTTGATTTTTTATTCTCATTTCAGTCCATGAAAGTGCAAAAGCCTGCTTTGAAACCATACCCTTTTTGGCAGATTTGAAATAAATGATATCCAATCCCCTATTAGGTTCAAAATAAAATAATCTGACTTACATATGTGAATTGGACTCCAAGGTTTAGGAAAATGTGGAGTGGCAGGAGGTGATGGCATAAATTGTTGGAGACTAATTCTGTGCTATGTACTTAAAGTTAAATATTTTGTGAGCATGTGGATCCTATAGCTTGATCAAAGATGTACATTATACTCTGTGAATGCAGAGTTTAGTGTTAATAGCTGGGGTAGAACAAGATGTTTCTAGCTCTGCTTTTTTCAACAGTCAAGTGAAAATTCTCCTAATGTCTTATTACTGCAAGAGTTGTACCATATTTTTTCTTTCTCGTTAAATTTCTGTGCTGTTTCCGCCCTCTCCCCCAGTGGCAATGTTGAATCTTGTTTTATAAGAGAAGGATCATTATGTATAATCAAGCAATTTAAACAAATGATCTCTTAGTTCAAGGAGACATATACTATAATATAAACTTGCTGAAACGGAAAGCTGTTGTTCAAAACATCGTGCTGTATTTTTGAGTTATTAAAAGCTCTCTTATTTTCGTCTTGAAAATGGCCCTGGCTGCCAGAAGTTTGGGGTTTTTCGCTGATCACTAACCTGTCGATTGGTGCTTTGACAGCAGAACAGTAACGGAGATCAAGGAGTATTAATCTGTCTTGTTTCCAGTTAAAGTTTAAATGACGTTAACTGGTTGTCTTTGAATAATGGGATACCGCAACCCCAAACCCAACTATGTCAGCACACTTGGGGAAAAAATCTGCAGCGAATGACACTTCAGAAGGCATTATTGCCTACAAAGCCGGGCGTGGGTGGTTATTTTCAAGTGGTGCAGACACACAAGGCACATGGAAGATGGTCCTTCACTGCTGCTGAAGCAAAGGGATTTTTTTTAAAGGTATAGCTTAAGCTATAGATTTGGAAACATGGTAGGTTGGTTTCTTTGCATGTACCTGTTGTTTGAGGGGAAAAAAACCAAAAGTGTTTGGCAAAAGTGTTTTCCATGGATAGTCTGTAGCCAACTTCAGCTGTTCGTTCGCGCACTTGTCGGCAGGGCTGCCTGTGGTGGGACATACAGGGTGTGGGGAAGGAAGGGTGAAGTTGGAAAGGGGGAGCTGGGAGCAAGCTGATCTACCTCCTGCCAGCCCTGGGGTTGCTTTCCAAATTCTCTCTCAGTCCTTTCAGAGTGCATGTTACATTTCTGTGGATATCCAGTAAGTGTTTGAGCTGTACATCATTACCCTGGTGCCTCTTTTGTGATCTCGTTACTTCCACGTAAATAAGTGATGAGTCTGGTTAGAAGAGAAGGCTTTGCTCCAAATTCCACCTACTCCAGTAGCCCAGAAACAGACTTTTTAAAGCAATCTCTAGGTTCAGCTGAGTGGGTGGAAGTGTGGTATTTTAGGAGACTGATTTATGGTTTTGAACAGCATCTATCATATAAGCACAGGTGTGAAAAAGAATTTTTTTTTTTATTCAACAGTGCATTAACTTATTTAAAATGCAAGTGCATTCATTTTTTTTTTTTTTAATTAATGTCTGTAGATCATTATTTTAAGAGAGCAGGAGGCTTCTGGGTGGTTTTTGGTTTTGGGTTTTTCCCCCTGCCTCAAGGTTTAAGGAATTAGAGCAAGTGTCAGCTCTTCTAGGTGTTCTGCACTCTGGAAAGATGAACAAAAATGTCCAGGCTTGAGCACAATATCTGCTGCAGTTCCTGATTCAACAGGAGCCACTTACATGTTTTGTTTTTGAAAGTTGGTTAGTAACTTTCTTTGCCAAAAAAAGAAAACCTGACTTTTAAGTAGAACATGAGATACTATATAACAAATACCTTAAGGTCTCAAGCTTTTTAGTCTTTTGTATATTGGAGCTGTGGAGACTGTGTTATTAGACTGAGCAGTCAGAAATACCGACATGTCTTGCCTTGGTGTCAGGCAGTTCATTGAAGTGAGAAGCAGGTAAGTGCAATATTGCCCATATTAGAAGTAAAATATTCCCAGTTTATCTGAAAACATGTAGATGAACACGTCCCGTTCCCATGAATTTGAATCAGAGGTGACTTTAGTAGTCTACAAAGTGGAGAACTTCAGACTGTGAGGGATGCTCAAGGCTGTCGATCCAGATCTCTACCATATTGCTATTTAGACAGTTCATTTGTCAGTGTGACTGGAGTTGTATCTGTACTGATGCATGCATGGCCAAAGCACACCTACATTGTGAAGCATGAGTGAGCATGGACCAAGCACAAACGCAGCTTTTATTTACCGCAGGATTTCCATAAGACTATGTAACTCTATCAGGAAATCAAGAGAAAACAGCGAAATCTCATTAACAGGGAAAATACAAGTTTGGCTAGGAAATATATTCAGATGTCATAAAAATTTGTAGAGAAACTCTGCTTTGCTGACCCATTGGTTATGGATTAAATTTGGAAAAAAACCTTAGTTCAGCTAAGTAACCCTGTTTACCTCAATTTTAAATTAATTATCTGAGCTTTTTTTAATAGTGGTTAGGCTGGAACAAAGTTCTTTGTTTTGAAAGGTAGGTGTTCTTATGCATTTTTTTTTTTTCTGTCTCAGTTTGGCTTTGAGAAAGAGATTTGCAGATTTTAGGAAGTTGTAACAGAAACTATTCAAACTTGGGGGACTTGTTTTACACACAGCAAAACTACCAGCACTTTTACAGTGTCTGCGTATGAATAAACTTGCATCTGCGTGTGGTTCTGGTGTGGGAAGTTTATTCTGACTGTCACTTCGTAATACCTGTTATAGTACCTTTTATTTAGGGAAGCAGGGCTATTTTCATTCTTCTTTCAAGTCCCATTCACTTAGTCCACTAAAGTTTAAATACAAACTCCATGCAAGTTGTGTTTCTTTAAATAAACTTCTGTCACTGTTGGCCTGAGCCATGTGTCGAAATCCCCGCGCCCCTTTCCCAGGCTTAGCAGTACTTGTAGGAGACAGGACTTAAGGTTTTGCCAGTCTTCCTCTCAACATAAGACCAGAAATCAAAACAAGCAAATAAATTTGACAAGGAAACGCTGCAGAACACAAAGCCCTGATGGGAGCACTTGTCAGAGAGGAGCAGGCACAACATAATTTGTCTCCAAGTAAGGTGGTTTGACCTAATGTTATTCCCTGTGGCCTGTCCCATAGAATAGGGATTTTAACAGCTCTGGAGGCAGAAGGGCTGCTTTACGAAGGAAGATGAGGGTGTTCATTTGTGTCCTTTTTGTTTCTACAGGTACTTTTGGAGTCACTGTCCTGAGCATTGCATTTACTTTTAAATTGGGCCTTTCCTTTCCTTTCCATATTACAGCCGCACATTTGTTTGGTTCATTCCCTCCTGGCTCCCAAATACTTGTAAAAAATAGCATTAATGACACTATCCTGATGTACTCACCTGACACCACACCTGCATTTCTGCACAGTGCCTGAAGAAGTGCGTGTCCCCCATAGCCGCTGCAGATGCGTGCATTTACACAAGCATGCATGTACAAGGATGGGTGGATTTACACAAGCATGAAAGCACCGGGCATTTGCAGAAGGGACACAACCGTGCAGTGAAACCAGCTAAAAGCTTCCACAGTTGCCTGGAAAACTCTGCAGGCTCCTAGAGGAGAGGTTTGCTCAGGCTTGGGTTTAGTTTTGCTTTGTTTGCAGCATGCCTGAATATTCACTCTTGGTGGAGAGCAAGATAAGTACGTGTCCCTTCAGCATTTTATGAAACAAAGTAATGCAGATATCTATAAGTGAGACATGACATGAAGCGTACAGATAGTAAGTTTGGAATAGTTCTGGGAGTTAAGAATTTACATGTCTTTATTAATTATTAGATGTTATTAGTGAGTGACTAAGGAACTGGGAAGCTCTAAGCGTTCTTTTGAAGTAGTGTACCCAAATTAGGCTAAATAAATAAATAAATCTAAAAATGTTGGGGAATGTCTGCTCTAATGAATTTTCTAAATACACAAATCACACTTATTAAATCAGTGGATCTTTTAACTGTAAAAATATTATTACTGTTACACTAGGGAAATCCATTCAGAATTATAAAATATTTGGAAACTCTTTCTATGTTTCATTTCAGTGGAAAGGTTGTAAGTTTAATAGGAATAAATAATTAAAAAAACGCAGGCTTTGGGATAAAGTTTTAAAAGCCAGCCTTCCCCCTTTCTTTGTATGCGTGCCAATTTTCAATGAGAACTGTGTTCTTCTTTTAGTCTTGTTTAAAATAAGCTACACGTATAACAAGATGTTGAAATTTATTTATGGTATGTTAGCGCTAAGGACAGGTTGTTAAGGGGTCATAAAAAATACTAGTTTCTACTTTATGGTGGCCAAGTTGTTTTTTCTGCAAATTAAATTTGATGCTACAAAGGGATATATGTGATATCTACAACTTTCTTTCGCTCACTGTAATTTCTTTCACTGTAATGCAGCCAACAAAGCCTGTCTTTCTAGTAAGAGGAATCTCAGCTGGAGAATTTCCCTTGCCCTGTGCAATAAAATTCAGCAGTAGGAAAGTGTGGGGCATCTATGCCTGGGGAGTGTGGAGCATCCGCTCACGTGGGTCACTCCATGTGACCAAAGAAACTCTTCTTGTGGTGAAGGAGGCAGGATGAGGTGCTGGATTCTCCATGTATTAGCTTTACATCTGGTTTTATTTATGCTTTTATACATATTTCACTTTCCAGTATTTATTTTATACCATTTGTGTGTTCCTTCATCAAAATATTTACAAGTATTTTGTACAAATAAGACAGACTTTTTCTCTTAGTATTTAAGAGGCAGTACAGAAAAATATATTGTTTTATTATTAAAATACAATTTATGAACCAGAAATGATCATAAATGCAAATTTATACTTCGCACATTTTTTTTTCTTAATAAGAATATGTATATTTTCATCTGGGGAGAAGGCAGCATTAAAATAAGCGAGCCTGGGGAGTATTACCACACACACACACATACACACACACACGCATATACTTGCATGCACAAAAGAGCCACAGTGAGCTATTTGCTCAAGAAACAAACTCCCACGAACGGCCCTCAAACTCGCGCTCGCTCAGGAAAGCTGAAGCCCTCCTTGTTTGGCCGTCGAGGGCCTGATCCCCTGTGATGGCCCCACGATGGCAGCAAAGCGGGTGCACTGACAGCCTGGTGTACTTACGCTTTTGGAAATTTGGGCCCTTCTGATTGGGACCAGCATCCCAAGAGAAGGGGAAAGGGGGAGATAACTCCACTCACCAGATGGGTTTTTCCAAGCCCTCATAGCTCCAATTAAAATGGCCGGTCAGGAAAAGCCTCCTCTCTTTTCCTTTGCCTGTACTACCTATGCTGCAAACATAGCTCACCAGTGAAAAAATTTCCAAGTTTGAAGGATTAGCAGTAAAAATCAGTGTGGTTTGGTGAAGGTTTTTTTTTTGTTGGTGGTGTGGGGGTTTTTTGTTGTTTGTTTTTGTTTAGGGTTGTTTTTTTGTTTGGCTGAGGTGTAGAAATCTGGTCAAGGATTTTCTTTTCAGCTGTGATTAATAGCCGTGGGTGCTGAATAGGGCATTTGTGGAGGGGAGCATGATGCTAAACAAAGTGTTTGGTGCAGCAGCTCTGCCCCTGCTGGAGCTCACTGCAGCAGAGCCCAGGGCTTTAGGCATAATGTAGTAAAACCTGCTTTGAAGAATTATGAAGCAAGAGACTTAAACGAGTAAGAGTAAAGTAATTGTGTGCTTTACCATTTAATCGGTGACCCTCAAGGTAACTGTGGCTGTTTAAGTAATTTTCTGTTCTTTTTATCACACTTGCAAGTGCGAATTTTTCACGGGCATTAAACTCTCTGCCTTGAACCTAAGTCTGAAAATTGGGGTCCCCCTGCCATCTGGGAGAGCTCAGGACAGAGGCTGACAATAATATCATGCCTGATCCATGTGAAATGGGAGATGTTGCATCTTCTTCTGTTGGGTCTGGATGAAATCCGTAGTGGGAAAATTGCTGTGAAGTGGGACTTGATTTACAGTGATGATGAGATGAGCTGAAGAGTATTGCATCCTGACGGAGGCTCCTTGCTGAAGGAAAGGAAAAGGCTTCTCACTGCTCATGGCAGGAGGGTTTGGAGGGATGTGACTATAGCAGGTGGGACAGGGAATGGGTGTTTTGTTTGTTTTTCGTTACAGCAGTGCACTTGGTCAGATGGCTTTGACTAAGCAGAACGTGAAAGGGCGATGCCTGTTAGTAGCAATGGGGAGCAGACTGCAGCCTGAGGTGGGGTATGCTCAGTCTGCTGGTGCACACAAATCTCTTCATGCTTTACCAGAGCAAGAGGTAGTGTAAGGAGTTATGGCCCCATTGCCCATCTGCAGATCCTAGTTGTCTACTTCTGTTCTTCCTGGTTTGGTTCCTGTTTCCATATAAAAGTTTATGTAAATTAATTTCAGAGCATTCTCCTTTCTTTGTGTCATTAGTCTGTGTTAGATGTTAACGTTTAGCATCCTCATTAGCTGCCTCAAGAAAGGGCCAGCACATGTAAATTATTTTATTACGTGTCCAGCTTAGAGAGAAACTTTATAGCCCTAATGTAAAAATAGTGTTAAAAATAGTGCTCTTTCCTGTCTGTCTGTCTTTTTTCTTCTTTTTTTCCTTCCCTTCCCATCTGGAGAAGAAAGCATGCAATAAATCTGACTTGGTGAGACCCTGCATCCTCTGTGCAAAGCCCAGTGTTTGAACTTCCTGTGCTTTGGCTTCGTTCTGAAACTTTGTTTCACTATAGCCATTTCTTTATGTTCAGGAAACAATAAAGACCTTTCTGGCATCCCTTTGGCCTGTACCATCCCTCTAGCTGGACTCTGCCATGTGCACCTTGTCTCTGCCAACTGCAACTCTGAGGTCTACTGTCTTCCAACGCAGAGCCCTGTGTCCCATGTATTTGCAAATACCTGAGGCTTGTGTACCTTCACTCACCA